CATCATCATCATCATCATCATCATCATCATCATCATCATCATCATCATCATCGGAAGCATCCTCAGCAGCAACATCATCATCATCATCATCATCATCATCATCATCATCATCATCATCATCGTCGACATCGTCATCAGCATCATCAGCATCGTCAACATCATCATCAGCAGCATCAGTATCGACACCCTCATCATCAGTAGCATCATGATTATCAACATCGTCATAATCAGCAGCATCAGCATCATCAACATCAACATCAGCATCATCATCTGCAGCAGCATCATCATCAGCATCGTCATCACCATCATCAGCAGCATCATCGTCATCAGCAGCAGCAGTAACATCAGCAGCAGCATCAGCATCAGCGGCATCATCAGTATCAGCATCAACCTCGTCAGCCTCGTCTTCATCATCAGCATAATCATCAGCAGCATCATCAACACCATCAGCATGGGCATCATCACCATCAGCATACTCATCACCATCAGCATCACCATCCTCAACATTATCCTCATCCTCGTCCGCATCATCATCATGTTCTTCCTCATCCTCAGTCTCCTCTTCCTCCTCCTCCTCCTCCGCCTCCTCCTGCCCCTCCTCGTCCTCCTCCTCCTCCTTCTCCTCCGCATCAGCATCAGCAGCATCATCATCAGCAGCAGCATCATCCGCATCAGCAGCATCAACAGCAGCGGCATCATCATCAGCATCATCATCGTCATCATCAGCATCATCATCATCATCATCCGCATCATCATCAGCAGCATCAGCATCATCATCATCATCATCGTCATCATCACCATCCTCATCATCAGCCCCATGCTCCTGGTCATGGTCCTGTTTCTGATAATGGTCCTGTTCCTGGTCCTGTTCTTGTTCCAGTCCTGTGCATGGTCCTCCTCGTGTGTGTCTTCCTGTTCCTCCGTCTGATCCTCCTCATGCTCCTCCTCCTGTTCCTGGTCCTGTTATTGTTCCTGCTCCTGGTCATGGTCCTGTGCCTGGCATGGTCATGATACTCCTCCTTGTCCTCCTCGTGTTCCTCCTCGTGTGTTTCCTCATGTTCCTCAGTGCAGTCCCTTCGGCTCGCAGAGGCGTCCTTGTTCTGTGGCATCGGAGTTTCGGATCCAGCTGTGGTCAAGGAGCTGCCCGTTGGCACCAACATCACCTTGGCTTCTCATGGGCCTTGGCAGGACTCATCATATGTGCTCTTCTGCTACTTCCAGTCTATAGGCGGGTCCAACTCATCATTCGAGCACGATCCTGATCTTGGCGATATACTGGACCCTGGGAACAAGATGATGCGGCAGCCCTCACCGCGGCCTTTCGAGCCGTGGGAAGACGGAACACCTTCGACGATACCACCAGCATCGGACTACCCGGCGCCTCCTACTTGGCAGGCACCGCGGCCGCAGGTACCACATCGAGTACCTCCTCAGCCTCCTGCAGCAGCTGACACCACCATGTCTCAGGAGAACCCAATGTCAATACAAGCAACACCGGCACCTCCAGCTCCGCTGGTGCCTCCAGCGCCACCTGCAGCACCGTTGGTCATTCCAGCAGCTCCGAGTGCATGGCAGCCTCCAGCAACGCCGCCTCAGCAGCCTCGTTTCCTGCGGAATCCAGAACCACCTGGTCAAGCTCCGCCTCCAACGGCTCCGCCATCACCGCCAGCAGTACCGAAAACACCAAGACCACACAAGCACCTGCAGTACCACGTGACCCAGTTATTTCACAGAGTCCGATACTAGCTCCAGCGCCAGTGGATGAGAAGAAGGTAGACCCTGTAGCAGTCGAGAGTCTAGGAAGCCTGGACAGATCACGATCTCGAGTGCTACGTTGTCCTGATGATCTTGATCACAAGCATCTACCTCTCATTCCTCCAGGAGCAAGGTATCGACCGACATCGTTACCGGCACCAGACGTACCTTCAGCGTCACAGGCAGTACCTGCAGAACCGCCAGCTGCGACACCGCCAGCATTTACACCATCAACGTTGCTGGCATCATCTACATCTTCGGGACCAGGAAACAGCGGTTCCTATTGAGACGCTTCTTTGGGTCCTGAAAACAGCGGCTCCTATCGAGACGCTTCTTTGGGTCCTCAGAACAGCAGTTCCTATCGAGACGCTTCGTCGTCGACGTCACCGCCCGCGTCTGCAGGGCCGGCCGCAGTGCCGCCGGCGCCGCCGACAACATCTTCAGCGCCAAGCGCCGTTCCATCCGCATCGACTTCAGCACCAACGGTACCAGCATCAGTTCCTCAAACCTCGACTGGGAAATGACTGGATAGTTCGGTGATCATATCTCCTCCAAATAAAAAAGAACCTCGAGTAGATCCTTCAGGCCCACCTGGGCCTAGCTTGCCGATCACAGAGCAGCAGCAGAGCTCAGGAGGAGCATCATCATCAGCAGGTCCTCCACCAACAGCGCAGGACCTGGATAAGATAGTTGAGTATCCAGCCGAAGATCCTGATCAGACAGTCGAGTATCCATTGGAAAATCCTGATAAGACAGTCGAGCATCCAGTGGTAGATCCTGACACGACGCTCGAGTATCCAGCTGAAGACGTCGAACCCCACCAAG